AAGTGAATTGCAAATCTGATAACTGGGCCTCTGGTTCGTGCTCATTTGCACTTAGATGCAAGGCATTCTGGGAAAACAAAATGTATTAGAACTGCTGTTTCAAGGTTAATGTAACTTATATATTCCTGATATAAGAAAATTCTGAGAAATTAGTAAAACTGTTCATGATACTGACCGGTATTCTTTGTGTATTCTTTGTGGGAGTCCTCCATTTTAACCTGATTGAACTGTTACATTTTTCTTTATATCATTTGGCCTCGATTTTAAAAAGCTTTACAAATTACTTACCTACAAAAGTCACAATTAAAGTCTATGGGAATTGTTGTCGGCAAATCATTTCGAAAGGTTATCGAACAATATTGAATCATTTGGAATGCTTATCAAATTGAGCCCCTTTTTTAAAGTGACAATGCGAATTATAGTGTGAATATTGTTAAGTTACCCTGGACTGTGTGCCTCTCATGCTCTTCCCCTAATTAACACTGGTGCTTCTTAATTGTTTTTAGACCACGATAGATTGTCCTATAGATCTACTTTCTTTTTTCCAACCACTCATTATCTGCAATATAAATAGGCATTTTTAGACATAGCATTCCCATTTAAGTATAAACAATTCTTGTAGACATTTTGAATATTGACTGTAAATACAATATTACCCTTTCACTTAATTTAAAGAATTTGCTGTACAAAGACATTCCTTTCTGTGTAAAGCTCTAGTCTATAAAGACATAGCTCCGAAAAAACCCAAAAAACATTTCCATTAGTCCCCCACAGTTGAAGGGTTCAAAAGCAGGGAAATATATTTTTTTGCTCTCCAATGATATTCTGCAGTATGTGTAGATTATAAGGATTTATTCAGACAGTTCCCAGATGCAGTAAACAAGTCACGTAGTTTATGAAATATTTTACTGTTGCAACACGTCCATGTATGGAGGCTACAAGAGGACATTTAAAAAAAAAAAGCGACACAACTTCACAAACACACACTAACATAATAGCAAAACAGTAACGACAGTTGATATTAATTGTAAACTAGTATTCAAATCATTCAAATAACAGGAGGAAGTCTGTATGAAGCTTAAATATCTATTTTTATAAATTTACAAACTTTAATTTTCATTCCTAGTAGCTTACTTTCTCTCAAACATACATGGAGTAAATTATCCCTAAGATTGAGTGAAAAAATATAAAATTCTACTTTCAAGCCACGTTCAACAAGTTAAAAGTGTTGTCCCAACCTAAAAAAATGGTGAAGTGACAACCCATCAAAATATATATTTTTTGGTTTAGCCATTAAGTGCCTAGATAGATAGCCATGGGGGTTGGCGTGCAAGATAAAGATCTGACTAGCAATATTATCTCTATGTGTAGAGAGACTTAAAGGCTTCTATACTTGTTAAATACAGCTGATCTTCTCTCTATTTGATTTATCTCTGATCACTTACTGAGATAAACACAGTCACCTGCTGACATGTAAAAAAACACACATAAACACCTGCTGAGTGTAATTCTAATGGGGGCTGGGTATACAGACGAAAGTCCTTCAGGTGAGAATGATTTTATAGATCAGCAAAGTTAAGGATATTGTTTATGTTGATCAAATTAACAACCATAATTAATTATTTAGGAGTGAGCTTGTCAAACAGTACAGCAAGGAATGAATATGCTTTTAAATGTGGATAATTGCAGCCATTATATGCAGAGAGGTTGCTCATTCTGTAAGTAATGTGATGCCCATCCTTACAACCAATAGAGAACTGGTTGACAGCAAATATGAAATAATTACTTTTAACAGTTTTTAAGACTGTTTCAGATTAGTTTTCAGGTTTCTTAACCGTAGCTATATTTCAAAGAATTGTAGTTTTGTCTTCTGTGGGAACCAATGTGATTGTTCCCTCCGGTGGCACATGGATTTTGTATACTGAAGGGCAGTACTATGTGTGTATCTCCAGACAGGATGTTAAGCTGTCTCGGAAATCATGGATGATTACACTAACCACAAGACAATACACATAGATCTATTGGTTCCGTTACAAAATCTGTATAAAATGCTGTGGTGCAGAGCTGCAGTGCCTCTTAGAACTGACTGATTTTGATCTAAGACAAATCTTGACAAATTTGTTTGGAATCTAGGAGTCAACTAAAAAAGTTAGGAACCAGTTTTTTTTAAAACTTGCGAGGTTTTATTTACGAGAAATATACAATTTTTAAAGGGACACTATAGTCACCAGAACTACTACAGCTTACTGTAGTTGTTCTGGTGCCTGTAGCTTGTCCCTGTAGCCTTTTAGATGTATACACTGCCTTTTCAAAGAAAAGGCAGTGTTTATATTGCTGCCTAGTAACACCTCTAGTGACAGTTACTCAGACACCACTAAAGAGTCCTGTGTCAGTGTGCAGCACCTTTGTTCAGCGTCTCCACGCTCTGCATGGAGGTGCTGAATGTTACATATAAAAAATATGCGCCATATCCTCCCAATGCTTTACTGTAGTTAAGCATTGGTTTAGCGAAGATCTTAAAGATTGATTATCTCACCCATGAAGGCAGGACAAGCCACGGAAACTGGCATGGCGTGGGAAAGAAGGTGAGTAAAAACACATCTCTCGTGATCGGAGGGGTGCAGGTACCTAAACAGACACAAGTAGACACACACATACACTGACAGACAAACACACATACTGATGGAGAGAGATGTACACACACATTGACAGGGAGACACACACACACTGACAGGGAGAGACACACACATACTGAGAGGGAGACACACACACACACAAACACACATACTGACAGAGACACACACACACATACTGACAGAGGGAGAGAGACACACACACACACAAACATACACACACACATTTTACATTTTAATTTGAAGCCACCCAGCCTCCCTAACTATGGGAGATCTGAGTGGACTTTCCCTGGGGTACAGTGCGAAATGACATCATATGCCGGCTCCCGGCATCATTAAGCAGGGCGAGGGAGCAGAGGGGTGCCGCTTAATGATCACTGCTCCCTAACACGCTGCCCCAGCCGACCACAGCGATGCTCCCCAGGGCGGTCGCCTGCATGCTGCCCTGGGCGGCCGCCTCCACAGTGCGGCCGCCTGCACGCTCCTTGAGTCGGCCATCCACACACCTCAGGGCTCCATTGTTCCTCCATCCTGCCTTTAGCTAAAGGGCTTTAAATCCAAGGCACTAGGAAAAAATGTCTAGTCGCAATGGCGACCTGGCGACGGGGATTTGTCGAGCCCTGAACCAAGGTCACACCGTACAACCCTACTGTTAGCCCACTGTGTGAGCTTTGTTTTATACTGTTGAGAGACCTCTTTGAGTTACTAGCCTATTCTAGAATATCAAAGGTAAAATCAACAATCCATTGAGTCTGAAATGCTCTTTATGCGTTTTATCAGATGTCAAAATAAAGTCAGTTTTTCTTCATCCGATATATACTTTTCTAAGGTAATTCTCTCTGATAACGAAGGTCCTCTGGTTTTCCCCCTTCCTATCTGAATTCAAATGAATTTAAGAGAAATGTATATCAGGAATAAATGCATTCAGTATAACAAATAATTGTGGTTAGGCAAACAGGGGTTTATTCAGTATATTTGTGAAAAAAAAAGTCCATGAAGCATATAGACATCACTTTATTAAATTATGTATAACTTAATCAGGAAGGACACCAAGAAGAGGTCAAACATGTATTTATATTGTTATGTTTTGCTTTCCATAACAACATGAAATCCCAATTCCATCCCAATCTCATTGTTCATTTATAAGTCCACATAGGAACAAGGGCAAAACAAATATATACAAACTAAATAGTACTAATTACTGCTTCTTACCCCTGTGAGTTGACTGCAGACATAGATGGCTAGACAAGCATGTCTACATAAAAAAATTAAAATAAAAAAGACGCTTTACACAGCAATGCCAATTGTCATGCCTACCCTTGTGTTCTGTGCATTTAATAAAATGTTAGCTGACATGGCCCCTTCCAACAGTAGCACATCAGTGATTAACATTGCATTGCGGGTATGCATCAAGTCCAATTCATACCTCCCAAGATTATGACATATTTGAGAGCAGTTGTAATCATGCTCCTCGGGTAACACGAAAACTGTATAAATAAGTGACTAAATGTGAATTTAAAGTGAATTTTAAAATATAGGTCATAATAACCAAATGATAAACATTACCCAAGTTAGCCATGTTTGCAGTTTGAGTGATTTGGCCCATTCAAAGTTCACAACAGTTTACACTTTAATGAATTACTTTGTCTGCAAGGCAAAAAGGTAAACAGTAATTAAGGAAGCAGTCCCTGCCTCTCAAAATATAGGCCAAATTAGCCAAGTATTTTTTATTTTAACTCTGTTGATTTTTTTTTTTTTATCTGATTTTTGCACATAAAAAAAGCCTTTAATGTTGAGCATGCTGAGGCGTATTTGTAGAGCAGATGCATGCTCCTATTAATTCAGCTACAAATACACTCAAGTCACAGGCCATGCACACTACACCGTCATTAAGGGATGCGCCGTCATATAGGTTAATTACGATGAATCACAGCTTCCAGCCTATCTGTCTAGAAATGATCTAAATCCAAGTCTAAAAAACAAAAACAAAAAAAAACATAAAATAAAAAAAATTATATGTGAAATTAATTATATTGGGCTTTATTCCTGACAATTTAAGCCCATGAATTTTAGAAAAATAAAATAAATTAAAAAAATAGCAGGTGAAATAATGAATTATTATTCTGGACTGATTCATGATAACTTACAACCATAAATTTTAGAATAAAAAAAAAAAAAATAGCCTTATCTGTTCAATACAACCGTGATAGTACACTACAACACCAACTCTTTAAAAACAAGGCAATGTCAAAGTCAATGGACTTTAGCACAAATCATAGGGAACGACCCTCCCAGCTTCACAGAGCAGAGCGTCCGGCCTTCCCAAGTGCTGCCGGGAAATGTAGTTCCGCCTTAGGCATAATCCTATGCATAATCTTGTTATCCCCCCCAATTAACCCCCTGTTTCTGACACAGCCACACAGCCGCCTCCTGTACCACTAACTCTGCGGGGTAGAGAGCTTGAAACTGGCTCCAGTAGGCTGCAAACAGGTAAGACAGGTTTGGCCCAGGACTACACCTCCCAGAATGCTTTGCAGGCAGCGCGTCGCAGGCGAGCCTGAGACGTGTGTGCGCTATTTGCATGAATGGGTGGCGGATCCCGTGCAGCCTGCTGCCACTTCCCAACGGAGATAGCCCAGCGGCCGCACGGAGGGAGAGAGGGAGAGCGAGGGCACCCCGGGAGGGCGCACGGCTTTAGCGTCACTCTTAGTACATCGCGCGGAATGTCCCGCTAGAGAGGCGCAGCGCTGCCCTGGGGAGATGCCGCGGGACGAGATGAACTCTCTGATCCAGAAGATCGCCCGCCAGGCCCGGCTCACCTTCCGCGGGGTCGGCGGGGGCCCCGAGGGCCACAAGAGCTTCTCGGAGAACGTGGGCCAGCTGCGGAAGCTGGTGGGCGAGATCCGAGCGGAGGACCTGAAGATCCGGCCCCGCAAGAACGGCCAGGCCCCCATCTCGGTGCCGCACAACCCCCCCGTCACCTACATGCACATCTGCGAGACGGACTGCTTCAGCATGGGGGTCTTCCTGCTCAAGGGGGGCACCTGCATCCCCCTGCACGACCACCCCGGGATGCACGGCATGCTCAAAGTGCTCTACGGCAAGGTGCGCATCAGCGGCTTCGACAAGGTGGTGGACGCCCCGGCTCCCGCGGGCCCCAAGGAGCCCCAGTTCCAGCCGCCGCTCCTGCCTTACCAGCGCGCGGCGCTCCGCAGGGCTGTGCTGCGCTCCGCGGGGGAGTTCAGCGACAGCAGCGCCCCCTGCCTGCTGAGCCCGCACCGCGACAACCTGCACCAGATCAGCGCGGTGGACGGGCCCGCCGCCTTCCTGGACATCCTGGCACCGCCATACGACCCGGACGACGGCAGGGACTGTCACTACTACAAGCTGCTACAGCCGGCCCCTTCCTCCTCCTCCTCCCCCGCAGAACCGGCTGGGAGGCCAGAGGGAGATGGCCCCCACCAGGCTGACGCCTCTGGGCTGCACTCTAGGGAGGTGTGGCTGCTAGAAATACCCCAACCTGATGATTTCTGGTGTGGGGGTGAACCCTACCCAGGCCCCAAGGTCACCATTTGAACACAATTCCTAAAAAAAATATATATATATATCAAAGTACCACAACCTGGCTATTTCTGGTGTGGGGTGAGCCCTGTCATGGGCATCCATCAAAACATCCTTCCTTTAAAAAAAAACTTAAAAACACATGGATCTGTTTAACAGCCTATCCCCAAATATTTGCAAAGCACCACTCCCATACCATACAAGCTGGGAGGAGGAGAGGTCCTGGCTACTAAAAGGGATCTGTCCTCAGGGACCACATTAAACACCAACCCACCACAGGGGTGAAGATGGTCAGTCACCTGGATGAGGGAAAGAAGAGTTTGGGATAAGGTTGCATTGTTTCCCACTGCCAATTGTTTTCAGACTGGTCTTGATGCACATATTTTGTTTTTGGCTGATGAAATTTTACAGTGATAATAGACCTGGTTTGTAGGAAATGTGCTTATTTGGCATGATGCAGTAAATGCTTGAAACCAGTGCTGTTCATGTCAGTTTTTATGATGTTTATGCTTCGTTAATGTATTATTTTCAAGGAGTACAAATAGTAAATGACAAGCACTGCCCCTCCCCTGACTTCCTGCAGCTGTTTAGGACATTTAACCTCCCCCACCACCACCATAAAATATCACCAGATCTCACAAAACTATCACTGGTATATGTAGAAGGATTCTGAAATTGGTGTTTTAGGTATATTCCATAAGTAGCAATTATTGCATTTTAAATTTAGAAGGCACAGAAAACGTTTTTTTTGTTGTTTTGTTTTGCTTGTCGGTGTGGGATCTAAACCAGAATATATTTCATGTGAAATAATATAATTATTGTGCCTTTGAATTATTTGGGATCCTGTATCCTAAAATTATTTAACAGGATAGCGTTTGAGCAATTTAATGTTACTTAAACAGAATACCAGTAATAGTTTGTATAATAAAGTATATGTAAAAGAGTAAGCTTGGGGGAGGAGGGGGGTGTTACAACTTGGCTCAACAGATTTTGAATGTAATTTCTCTTAACCCCTTCAGGGATATGTTTAGGTAAATCCTATCCTGTGTTCTCATAACGGCCCTGAAAGGGTGTATTATTTGTCAGTTACCGTAGAAGCATTGAAAGACGTACTCCTTTCAGCAACAGGTGGTCCAGTTTCTACAAAAGTAATGGAAAACTTACCTTTTGTGTGCTCTGTGTGTGCATACATTATGTATACAGAAACTTCATGTGAGGAGGGCAGTGACCTGAGCTCAATTGCCTTTCTAGTAAACCGAAATCCCCAATCTGCCCCTTACTGCCTCATATCCTTTTCACGGATATGTATGACTACAGCACTTATATTACAAGCCATACTTTATTTTCTGCCATATGTTATTAAACATTTTAATCTGTACCCTGCTGCGTGAGCAAAATATTTTAATTTTAAGTATGGCACACAGTTCTGTAGTTTGTATTATGGTTAAGTTATTGGAACCTGTGTACTGCCTGTGTTATGTGTTCTCTCCCATACTAGGAATAAACGTTTATATAATATGCTATTTACTGACTGAATAATGTCTTTGGGGTTAAGCTGTAATTTTTTTTTTTTTATTATTACAGAAAATGAAACATGAATTTGATTTCAATACTTTTTGTTTACTAGTCAGAAATATACTCTGCAGAGTGATTTATGTCTCAGGTTTATAATCTCAAACTATAGAATTATTCCTTAACCCCTTAAGGACACATGACATGTGTGACATGTCATGATTCCCTTTTATTCCAGAAGTTTGGTCCTTAAGGGGTTAAATAAGATTTCAAAATAAGGGGGCTCAACTATGTTTTTGAAAAAGTTTAATCTTTTGCTTCAGCATATAGTATCATGCACACCATTGCACTGTTCTTATACATATAAAAGTGTATATGAATACACACACTTCCGAAAAAGGTAACTACAAGCAGCCGGATGTCAGTCCCTGTTTTTAGAGATATTTACAAGTGCTACTATCAGACTGAACAGCGAGCTTATTTTATACTCTCGCTGTCTGTGTTAGTCATCTTCTAGAAAAGTAAGATGGCTATCTTCTAGAAAAGTAAGATGGCTGCTGTCACAGGCCATTTTTCTTTGACAGTTCCCTAAGGTATGCAAATATCCCATTTTGTTAAATATACAGTGTATAAGGCTTGTTATGACCAGATTAATATATATAGCCAGATCAACGTTTCAGCCCCACACTGGGCTTTCTTCGGGATCAAAAAAAAATTTAAAAAAAATCACACACAATGTGTGATTTTTTTTTATTTTTTTTATTTATTTATTTTTTTGATCCTGAAGAAAGCCCAGAGTGGGGCTGAAACGTTTGATCTTTTTAATGTATCTTTAAATAAAGCAGCATTTGATTTTAAAACAAACCCGAGGAGTGTAGTCATCACTATTGGACAAATTATACAATTCAGCCAGCTAATTTTGGCACCCGGCAACAACAAGAATATAAAGCGTGAGTGCAAGGAATCTTTTTGTGTGTGTGTGTGTGTGTGTGTGTGTGTGTGTATGTATGTATATATATATATATATATATATATATATATATATATATATATATTCTACATTTCATTTCATTTCTCTTTAGTGCATACGAAGTTGTTTTTGTCCTGTAGTAGAGGCCCAGTCTCAGATACTCCATCAGCGATGTCCTTTTCAACCAGTAATTGTCACCCAGTCCCCCACTATGAATGTATATTGGAGTGTTTCCTAGGTAAGAATGATTGAGAACCTTTTACACATGTCTGCTTCCGCTGTCTATTGCTCTCAATGGACTTAATTGGCAGGTGTACAGAGTAATTCTTTTATTTATATAAATATATATAAATTGGCATTGTCTAATTATTAGTAAGAGGAAAATAAATGACTTGCCTTTACTCATTTAAAGGCTCGCTGTGATCTTGAAATACTAAAAGATTGTTGCTTTGCATGCTGATGAAGAAAACTTAACAGAAGTTTCTCTTTAATCTCTTGCTATTTTCTATTTTATTTGTATTTTTCATATCACACTACATTTTCCTAGTTCTTTATTAGCTGTTAGTGTACTTGGGGAAACTCTGCTGCTCGAACCAATATATAGATTATTTTTATTTTTATTTTTTAAATCTCTAATGGCCACCAGAATCACCTGGTTCTGTGCAGCAATATGTTTATTAACTAAACAGTGAGTTTATATACAGGCCAGAGTTTTCATATTGGAGTCTCTGATAGGTTATATGAGGTAATATTGTACAGTCCTTTAGCCTACCTGGATGTTTTGATTGGGCGTCTGGTTACACCATCATTTTTATAACAAATTTGCACATTATTGAGTTAGTCATTTACTCTATTCGTCCCTTACACTGGAAAGCTCAGTCGTAATAAGTGTGTGGTGTCCATCACCGTGCTCATACCAAAACAAACTCTGTTTAGAATTTATTTGGTGTAAAGTTATCTAAAAATAACTATTCTTATTGTACTGGTGCTTGAGGACCTCCATTTGTCTATGAGTAGCTTGGCTTTTAAACCATCATTTAAGTACTGTCACAGGATGTGTTTTGGTGCGCTTTTTTTGTCAAGGGAGATATTTTTAAAAACTCAGAAGATCCATTGACTGACAACATCCTCTTGAAGTTACATTCCAGCCTCATGTTTCCTTTGTATTATCATTTGCAAAGTTCACTGTTTTTGCTTTGTCTGTTTTGTAATGGGTAGCGTACGTGTAAAATACAACGGGCTCCCTTTTTACAAAGCCGCATTTTCATCGTAAACTGGCTGTTCAACCATAAGAAAAATTAAAGCCGAAATTAAAAAAAACCAATGTGAATGAGAATACCAATCAAAATGTTAGATGTTGCTGAATTCTAAAGCAATCATAACTCTGAATAGTATATACACTTTTAATAAGATTAATGTATTAATAGGTTGATCATGAAACAATATGCATATTGTATAGTATTTATAAATCTGTGGTATGTTTTTAAGTATATGAAATGGAAACCAAGTCTGCTAACCTCATTTTAAGTTTTATATTTATAACATAATGTGGCTTTAAATAATTGGACATAACATTCATCCCTCCAGCTGTGTGGACTGCAACTCTCATAAATCTTATTGAAGATTTTGAGAAGCGCTGTATTTCAGCAGCTGCGGATGTAATGTGCGTGTCAAACACTGCAAGTCTAATTCTTTTTATACGTATGTCATTTGAATAAACTGTAATAGTTTCTTTTCACTACAAACATTTATGTGTATATCGTAATCCTTCTGAAAAAACACTTAGTTCCTTTATGGAACTTCATCTGAGTTTTAAACTGTAACACCAACCTCTCCTTGTGCAAACATCTACTTTATCTCTATACCAAATACCTAAATATATTATGAATGAAATATGAGAAAAATGAATATGCAGAAAACATTAAAATACTCTTAGAGCAATTGGTTAGAAGAATGGGAATGTCCTCCTTCCAGGAAGTATAGTGTTTAGAAATATTATAGTGCACATGGAGTAGGGGGGTGGGAAACACAATTAAATAGAATACAAACGTGGCAAGGAACTGTGTATTATTAAAAAAACAAATTTAAATGGTTCCATGATACCGGATGTCATATTACTACATTATATGCTTTTATTATCTTTACATTGCTTTTATTTCAAAATTATTTGGTCTAGGGTTCTTAAAGCAGCACCAGGTTAAACATGTCCTGGTCTGCCCAAGACTAGATGGTGTCAGGGCTCCAACTGCCTCTATTTATTTAGCCGAGTCTCTCTCGGGGAGGCTAAATCATGTTTCTGTATGCTCCGTGTCTATACTTGAATACCATTATTGGGAGACGGCTGTATTGTAATTGTTGCAGCTGCTGTCCTGTGTTAGCAACTCCTACTAGTCTTGGGTAGGGTAGGTGCTGTCCTGAGGTTAGTGACTGCTGCACTGCATGTTGTCATCTGTGCATCATTTGGTTTCACTAACATCACCAAAAGTACCAAAGTCATAGTGTATGTGCATATTTTCTGTTAACTTGCAGATTTTCAATCTACTTTTTTCTTCTTCTTCTTCTGTATGTGAAGCAATATTTTTATAAAAACATTTACTAGCAAAACCCTTTTGGTGTTGATACACAGGCATGTATGTTACTATGTAAATTGTTTCAAAATCATGTTTTTAGTGATCGTTGTGAAATCTATACCAATGCCTATATGTGTAGAGTGATGAGTTCACAGGTTAAGGGCCAGAGATGGTTTGTTGGATTGCTTCCTACTAATTTTAGCTTTGCTGTATGAATCCATAGTGCCACTATTTAGCCATATCTCTGCTTTAGGCCGTACACAAACCAGATTTTCATGACCGATAATATCCTTTGTTCTTTTGGGGTTAAAAAGACTGTTCCCAAATGAATTTGTAAGAATTATGTACATGGCAGTCACCACCTAATCTTAGTGTACATTAAGCAATGTTAATCCATTCTATGCTTAAATAAAGGGATAAAGGATTATATTTTTATTAACTTTTATATCTGATAGTTATTGCATAATGATGAAAATGCATGGCTACCCAAGCATTCATGATATTGGTAAGAGGTTTATGGCTCTAGGAACGTAAGACCTTAACTGTATACAATTTTAAATGATGTACCATTGTCAGCTATGTAAACATGCTATTAAAGACCAAAAGGGAATTGGGGGCACACCCAGAGCATGCAAATTCTCAGCAATGATGCTGTATATTTGCAAAATACAGATTAAGCAACAGCATAGATAAAAATACAGTTTTAAAACTTACAAGGCGTGGTGGGCTTAACACAATATAGCCAACTGCTGAGATGAGTGATTTTAAGTAGCCATGTAAAACTATATTTTTATTTGTGTGCTTATTCTGTATTTTGTAAACGTGTTGTATTTAAAAAGACAATTCTAATCCTTCACCTATGCATGCACGTTTATTTATACTTACAACCCTTTGTAAACTTTTTTTTTCTGTCTATTTGCTATGTCCTGTTGGGTAATATGAATTATCCTCCCATTAGAAACATGAAAATACTTAATTTACCTGAAATCCAGTGCTTGCCGATGCCCCCATCAAACATCACTGCTTCCCTCTTCTTGTTCCTATCAAATGCTTCTCCTAGAGTTTTCACTTACCTTTACTCCCTCGCTGTGGCCACTATGTGTTCATAAAGATTATCTATGCCAATTTAATGCTTTTATACAGCGCAGCATGTGAAGGGAAGTACACATGTGTGGCAAAATAATTTGCTGCTCCTATCAAATGTTCTCTGTGGGCAGCATTTGAATAATTAACAGTGTAACTTGATTATTTAACGGAAGCACCTCTATTGACTTTAAAGCAGATTTATAGCATTGCTGTGTCTTCTAAATTGTTTTTTTAGATCGGGTGTTTAAACTGCACCCAGACCTTAGTGGTCCTTTTAAAGGGTCATTCCAAGCATCATAACCACTAAACCCACCGTTGTGAGTATGGGAGTACCCTGGTGCCATTTCCCTCTAAGGGTCAAAACTGTTCTGCAATGGTTTGCCTCTTGTCTGGGTCCCACCAGTTGGGACAATATGTATCTTTTATTCCAACAGATTGGATTAGGTATCATACTTAATTTGCCTAGTTCGAAAGGTCTCCCTTCTGAAAACCAAATCTTTGTGTGGACATTCTAAGGATGGTAATGGTAAATAATCAATTTTAATATACATTATGTTATACTCCGATATTATTTCATATAATATGTGGTGGCTTCTTCAATATCCCACACCTGGTTCATGTGTCTTGTTCAAGATATCTGCAAAAAACATATGTACGTTTTCTTTTTAAATAAGCAGTGCTCTCTACCGATGTCAACCAAGACAAGCTCATGTGCATGCACACACTAGACCGTCCCCATAGGAAAGCATTGACTCAGAACTTTCCTATGGGTACTTTTAAGATGCTGGATGTCCTCATATAAAATCAAATGGCAGAATTTTTGCAAGCATACCTGTTGAAAATTTCTCCAACTCAACTGATGTCACGGTGTACCAATATAATTGTGGACGTTTTGCATTTTGTTCATTAAAATTTTTGTGCTCCGCAAATAAAGTGTAATTTTTATTTATTTTTTTAATCAATGTAAAATAAAATATAAAGGGCCCCCAATCTACCCCAATAAAACCTTTCATTAAATAATCCGCATACATCACATGCAATGATTGAGGAAGGACTGATCAATGTATACATTCATTTAGTAAGAGCACAAAAAGTCTCATTGCATGAGGAACTTCATCTGAGAGTTAACACCTCAAATAGGAAGCAAAGTGGGTTCTGGAACCGAGAACCCATTTTAAGGAACTGACTAACACAACTGCGAACAAACTACCACAAATTGAAAACTGCATTTGTTTTAATATGATCTAATTTAGGTCTAAACTTTTTAAGGGTTAGTAATGGCTGTGTTCTTATCACATATTGCCGGTAATATTTACTCACAAGCAATACATTTAATCAACACCCTTTTTAAATAAAGCATCTGTCTTTTAACCCCTTAAGGACCAAACTTCTGGAATAAAAGGGAATCATGACATGTCACACATGTCGTGTCCTTAAGGGGTTAAAGGACATTGCAAAGTGCACTCAGTTTGGTTACAGTTAAACAGAGCACTTTCAGAGACAGGAAGAAAATGTGCTTTGTGCATTCAGCATGTGTTCACACTGTACAAGAACTTGTCCTTCCCAGTAATGCAGATCTAAGAAATTTACATAGTGTTTGAACTATACAGAAAAAAAAATTAAACTAGTTTTTTTTTTTGCATCATAACCACAATAATAATATATTGTCAATCTCTAACTATCACAATAATTTTATATAACATTAAATTGTATTCACTTTACTCCATGTGTAAATACACAGTTCTTTTGCCAGAGATTAAATTAGGCAAGATATAGCACAGCAGTTCAAATGGAGGCTCCTGTGAACCCAGGCTTGGGGCCAAATCCTTTGAACATATCTGAGTAATCATGAAACCAGTTGGGACCGTTTTGTCTACAGTGTGCTGTTCTATATATTTGAAAGATAACTTGGATTTTTTTTTATTTGTTTGTGTTTGTGGCATTTTTTAATTTTTTTCTTCCTTTTTGCATTGTTTTACTTACACTATGCTCTTGAATCACAAACCTCATGTATAAATAGAAAGGCACTAGTTTGTGTATCTGGCTAATACAAACACAACTAAACTCTGAATTGTACAGAATTAAAACCAGTTTAATTACCATTTCATTTTACTGTCGGGGTTCACTATGGTGTAGGTAGGGTGATCAATGTTTTGGTTTTTTCCGTCTGTGTATATAATCCTAGCATATATACATTTACAAATGCAATACCGTACATATACTTAGACACACATACCTGCACACATATACGGACAAAATTATTTATACAGCCATAAACCCCTCATACGACTATATAGCACACCCATTTCTGTTGACAAAAAGGAACCCCCTACATACTGTTCCTTGAGAGAGAGAGTGTGTGTGCGTGTTTTTTCAGAATTATTCAACCCTATTGAAAATCAGATTTATTGTCAAAATATATAGACTTTCAGCTATTTGCAATGAACAAATCAAACAAAAGCAATGGAAATGGCTCAACACAACAAATGTTCCAAGTGGTTTCCCCAAATTTAACTGAAAATGTAACTTATGACTTCTCCTATCTCTATAATTATTCAAACCCTTCACGGCAAGCATCTTTAGTACTTAGTAGAGTACCCTGTTGCTGTAATGACCTGCTGCAAACAAGATGCATAGCCAGACACCAGCTTCGGGCAGCATTCCTGAGGAATCTTAGCCCATTGCTCACGAGCAATGGTCTCCAGTTCAGTAATATTCTTGAGTCTGTGTGCTGCAACAGTCTTCTTCCAATCCCACCAGAGATTTTCTATGGTGTTTAAGTCAGGTGAGTGTGATGGCCACTGTAGAATTTTCCTGGACTTCTTCTGCAACCAAGATTTGGTGGAAATTGAGATATGCTTGGGGTTATTGTCTTGTTGGAAGGTCCAATGACGCACAAGCTTCAGCTTCCTCACAGACTGCATGACATTTTCTCCTAGGATTTCCTGATACTTCAATTACTCCATCTTGCGTTCCACACACTGCAGGTTTCCAGTGCTAGAGGATACAAAGCAGCCCAAGACCATCACTGAGCCACCACCATCCTTAACTGTAGGCAGAGTGTTCTTTTTAACATATGCTTCATTCTTTTTCCTCCAGACATACTGCTGATCCATTGGGCCGAAAAGATCCAATTTTCCTTACTCGATCCACAGAACAGAATCCCTAAACTTCTGTGGCATATCTATAGAATATTGAACATATTGGAGTCAACGTTTCTTGTGATTTTGTGTCAGTGGTGGTGTACGTCTTGGAGTTCTGGCAGGGGAACCTTCTACATTTAGTAAGCGCCTTACTGTGTTCACTGAAACCTCAATGCCTGTTGCCACCAAGTCTTACTGCATGTCTTTTGCAGTCACGCAAGGGTTTTTCACAACCTGCCTTCTCAGAAATCTGGTTGCAGCCATTGATATTTTCCTTTTCTGCCCCTTTTACGTAGTGTAACCACTGTTCCTTAAAACTTGAACTTGCAAATTATGCTTCCGAATCTGTCTCTAGGAACATTCAGTGCCTTCGCTATCTTTTTGTATCCTGTTCCTTGTTTGTAAAGAGAGCAATGATCTTTTCTCTTAACTTTATGGACCACTCTTTTTTGACTTATTTCTAACATGCAGTCAAATGTGACACTTAACAAACCCCTAGCCAGTTCAGGCATTTTAACTGTTCCAGCTCAAGCCGACCTGATAAAATAATAACAATAATAAAGAAGCCTTTGATTAGTTGCATCAGATGTGCTTGAAACGACAGCTGTTTTGCATATATGTGCTGTTGTGAGTTATTCTATTCAGGGGGTTGAATAGTTTTGAGACAGGAAAAGTCATAACTTGCATTTTTAGTTGAATTTGGGGAAATCACTTGACTTAAATCATTCATTGTGTTGATTTATTTCAATTGCTTTTGTTTGATTTCTTCATTGCAAACAGCTGTAAGTCTGTAATTTATGACAATAAACCTGATTTTCAATTGGGGTTGAACAATTTTGTTCCTTACCCAAATAATTCGATAGAATTATTTTTTTTTAGATAAAAATGTACCGGTACACAAATGATTCTTGGATATAGCATGCCACAAACATGTTCAATTATAAAGCGATGTTTAACTTTAGACACATTTTAAATTCCAGATGTACTGTTACCTATCTCCATCCAACCAATAATATTTCTTCTCTTTTCCACTTACACCATCAACTTTCATCATTACAGTTAAAGTGGTGTTACATTTTCTTTTCATTTACTGTACATTGTTTTTATTATTTTTTCTATATGATTCTATGCATGTAAGGTATTTTTATTATGTAAATAATGTTAAAATTATGTAATTTTGGGGGTCTGAATCAGATTAATCAAATTTGCATTAATTCTTATGGGAAATGTTGATTCGGTTCTCGAACAAATCGGAACTCGAACAACCTTCTAGAACGAATTACGTTCGAGTTCCGAGGTTCCACTGTATATAGACACATAGCAATAAATGCATCTGTTTTAATAGCTTTGGGCCAAAAAAAAAAAAAAAACACACACCCACAAACCTGCATTCACACACACTGACACTCCACACAAATACAACCTTTCATTAACACAATGCTTTGGCCTTGCACACATATGACATTCCATGTTGTGGACAAAACATGAATCAGAAACAAAATTGTTTGCATGATAAAATAAGTGTTACTGAGGTGGGTGAGAAGTCAAAGACACTGGAAGTTTCATATCATGGCAGCAGCAGCAACCCTGGAGAGGAGGTGAGTATTACCCAAAGTAATTAAATATTTGATATATCTTTCTTATAAGGGTATATATTCATTGCTTTAGGGGTTATGTGTTAAGATGAATTTGTCATGTCAGGTTTATTTTAATATCACCTTTTTTTAAGACCTATAGTGACTTTTATCAGGTTAATTTAAAGCACATTGGGCCACAAATGAATGGTAAAGGTTGCCTGGTACTCATTTGCAAAAAATTAGTTGACACAACTGATTGCCAATAGCCTTAGCTACCTTACACGTAAGGCCTTGCTTAGTGCTGTGTTACGGCAAGCAGTTGAAATAATAATGGGACACTTAAGCTGCTTTAATCACTTCATGTCTCCTGGCGCCATTCCTCCATTCAGTGTTGAAATTGTTTAGCACTGAACAAGTGTCTCCTGCAGCTCATTGGATGGAGATATGGATAAGGCGGTGTCAGGGTACCCATCTGCAGACAACATAGTTCTGCCTTGCTAATTAATACTGTGCATCACACCTGCGTCAATGTTGAAGCAGAGGTCCATATCTGTGACTTTCAACAGTGCTGCACACCATTTCTGTGTCAATATTGATGCAAAGGACCCTAACCAGCCACATTATAACACGGCACGCCATTCAATATTGACGCAGAGTTCTCTGTACAGCAACATGATAGTAATGCTATGCACCCCCAAGTCATCAATATTCACGTGACAGGGTCATTATTGAGTCCACGTCTCCGTATTTATGCAGATCATCGCACTGGCATAAAAAATGACGCAAAACACTACAACTAACAAGATTTATAAAGAAAATTATGCAAGTATGCTATCATTCCAGCATCGCTATTCTTTGACATTCTGGTGCCATATTGATGATGTTCAGACTCTTGGCCAATAAACCTCATTTTAGAGCTCAGTGTACTCTCACGACCTATAGTTACCCAGAGTGCATTCCTGTGTATTAATAAATTTATCTAGGTTTGACCTTTGCTTAAGCATTGACTTGTTATTTGACTATTCTGTATCTGTCCTAAATGTTAAGCCCAGATATCTGTAAGGCCTGGTAATGCTTGCCTTTATCCTCTGCCATTATAGATTTGCGTGTTTGGACTTTATATAGTCCTAACAGGTGGAGATTACACTCTGATTTAGCCATACCAATTCATAACAACTTTGAGTGGCAGCCACTCTCATTGAGTCA